GGGATGTATTAATTCCACATCACCACATCCTCATTTTTTGAGACAAGAAGGGACAAAAAGGAACTTAGATAAAAAATGGGTAGAGATTTTTTTCCCTCTGTGTTTTGCTCAAGATAATCTCCCACAAAATAAATAGAGAATTATATCATAAAGAGAAGAAAAACTACAATTCATAAGAACATGGCAACTGAGCAAAAAAGGAAAAAAAAAATGGAAGATGGAAATTTGCTCCCAGAGAATATGTTTCAAGAAATGAAAGGAATTTTGGATTCTACTAGTATTCTATTAGTCATCTTCCTCTTCAACTGTTCCCTTTTTCCACATCATCATCTTCATCTTCTTTACCTTTATCCTCTTCATCATCAATGTGTTCCAAGTCTTCATCATTATGAACATCATCTTCTTCTACTTCCCCTTCTTTATCATCCATATAAGGAACTATATGGTACTTTAAGAGATTGGGCCAAATAACATGTTGATGAAGTCTCCTAATGCACCTGTACCTAACCATCATTGGTGAAACAGGTAAAGAATGTCAGAGATTCTCCTGCTACTTCTTCAAGATAGCTTTATTTTGTGTCTGACATGAACATGTCATCAAGTCCTCCCAGATTTGCATTTCATATCAGTCAACATTGAAGATGGGTCCCCACTCTTATTGGAAAGAACTTTATGTTTAAGTAAGGATTTTTAGCAAAATTAAAACCTATTTTGTAAAGATTTAATATCTTCGAATTCTGTCACTTCATTTCTAAGAAATTAATTTAGCATCTTTTCATTCTCATCCCCAACCAGAGCAGTCTTCTGCTCATGACTGACAATCATTACCCCTAAATTTGGGATATGGGGGATCATTTATAACTACTTTTGAACAGTGTGCAGAGTTTGTTACCTTTTTTGTTGTACTTTGAAAATTTCCTCACTGACTTGTTCGTACAGTCAGTCCATTTCAGTTTATATAACATCTCTGTACTTAAATGCTTCCTACTGTTCCTTCCTTCCATTCAGTGAATCTAAATGTTCCCTGTGGCTGCATTTGGAAGTAGTCTTGGTTTCCTCATTTGAAGGGTGAGTGGAGACTTAAGGTTGAGCTAATGTTATGAGACAAAACCAGAGAACCAGTCATCTAGGGAGATGTTCACATTGGAAGAGGGTAGAGAACTATACCTTTATTTTTTAATATTTTTGCTGGGTATAGAATTCTAGGTTGGCAACTATTTTTTATCACCTTAAAGATATTATTCCATTTTTTATTATCTTTTCTGTTAAGCGTCAACTATCAATCTCACTGTTGCTTATTTGAAGATAATGGCTTTTTTTTCCTGGAAGCTTTTAAGATTGTCTTGGTACTCAATAGTTTCACTAAGATATACCTTGGGGTGATTTTTTTATACCGATCCTGCTTAAGGCTCACAGAGCTTCTTTGATTTCTCAGATAATATTTTTTTAACAGTTCTAGAAAATTCTAAGCCATTATCTCATCAAATCTGCTTCTGCTCCATTTTCTCCCTCTTCAAATGTGAATAGGTCCTAGACAGATATATTAGGTATTTTCACTGTCTCACATATCTGTTTTCTAGTCTCTGTGCTTCATTTTTCAATATTTTCTATTGACCTGCTTTCCACTTCACTACCCTATATTTTGCTCTGTCATACCTAAATCTAATTCAAACACTGAGTTCTCAATTTTAGTTATTACATCCTTCTCCCCTAGAATGTCCATTTGATATTTATACATCCCAATTTTCTAGTAAAATTCTTCTTTTTCACTGTTTGTTTCATCTTTTCTTCCATTTGCTAGAACATATCAATCAGTCATTTTAAAATCTTCATCTGTTAACACCAATCAATATCCAAATCATTCCATCTCAGTTTCCACTGTCCAACTTTTTTCTTAGTCATATGGCCCTATTTCTTGGCATATAGTTATTTTTAATATATGCTGGACACTGTGTGTTCAGAAATTTTAGAGTCCCAGGTATTACATTTCTCCATATTAAGTTTCCCTTGACCTCTGCCAGGCAAAGTGGGATCGGATCTATTCTCCATAAAGTATCAGTGAGTGAGCTGATTCAATTCTGGGTTGCAGTTATGGCAGACATCAGACAGTCTCAATCTACCCTCTTTCTACAGCATACTCCCACAGTGCTTCCAACTGAAAGTATGATTTGCACTGTGGACCCCTCCTCAACATTAGGTGGTAGAACACTCTGCTTTTTGGAAGTATATGGCTTAACTTTAACAGCATTCTGCCATGCAGTTTCATAATTCTGCAAATATCTTGAGGAGGAATCAGCAATGTTTTTGAGTTCTTTTAGGTCCCAATATTGTCATTCCAACTTTGTAAGACTGCCAAAAGCTCTACCTGCTTTTTCTATACTTAAACAGGTCAGCTCTACATGGGCTGTGCTCAGATTTTCAGCCTCTTGCCCATGTCCAGAATCAGGAAGAGTCTGACCACTTCCCCAAGAGAAGAGGGTACAGATGATAAATTAACCCCTTCAGAGTTTTATCCTCTCTGGAGACTCAGACACTCCAGTACTCCTTCTTTTAACACCTCTTTGATGGCCTTACACAAATCATTTTCATATTTAATTAATATTTCACAGTTTTTTTAACAGTAATATTGATGTGTCTAAGTTCTTACTGAGAAAAGTCTTCTTGCCCTATCCTATTTTATTTTCTTTATATCCATATCACTACCTATTATTGTATTACTTATTAAGGGTGTTCTATGTCCAACTTTCCCTACTGAAACATAAGCCTCAAGAGAACAAGGGTTTATTGCATCGTATGGCACAATCAGACCAAAGACTACATGACCCTAGTATCCCTCCTCCCTCCTCTTTCTATCATGCCTCATTTACCATACCTATTTTTATTGTTAAGACAATGCCTATTTTTGTTATGTAAAGAATTCCAAATGGCCTTGTTATCTTTCATTATGAGAAAAGAACTAATTCTACATGTACATAACGTTAGTGAAGAACTCTTATTCTCCCCTTCATGTCTCCTCACTTTCTCTTCTACAAGAGTGATAAATTAGACAATATACTTTTGCTTCCTTCTCTTCAGTTGATTACCAAGGCCCTGATAGTCATTCCTCTCTATGCCCAACTCCTTGCCCTCTAGTAAGTAGACTTACCATCAGACTCAGGATATGCCTTCTATAGTAGGCTGGAGACCTGTCTCCCTCCATGCTCTCTGGTATCCTCCATTCTGATTATGCTGCAAACTGAGTCTGTGAGTCAGGCCACCATGCTCCATGCAGTTGATGGGCAAATAAATTCAGAACCTACTTTGTGGGCCTAACTAGGCTACAGAAACTGAGATTTAAAAAGCAGAGTGCGCAGTCCCCACTTTGTATATTTTTGGTACAAAGGTCAAGATTTAAGAAGGAAAATGTAAAGTCCCTGCTCTGACCAGTTTTCCAATCCAACTTTCTGGAGCTATCAATTTAAGGAGTTATTGTATGCTCATTAATGAGGCAAATACTTTAATCTTCATTTGGCTCTTATCTGCTTTTCCTTGGTTAGGACCAGAGAGAGAGATGGGTTATGAATTAAGAAGCATCACCAGTGTATAAGTGAAGACAGGGGAATGGGAAAGAGGTTTCCAAAAATAAACCATATTTATTAGAACTGATTCTGAAATCCAATTATGGAAGGGGCCCTAACTCACCTGGGATATACATTTATTTTGAAATAATAATATACTATAACTATAGGAGACTAACAATTCTTACAAAAACACTTGCAAATCCTGTAATCACATTTCTCTGTAGTTGTAGTTTTGAGAACATGCTATTTACTCAGATACAAATTCTTTTCTGCTGATAAAAATAAATAAAACTATGATAAATTGACATTATGCACTTTGTAATATGCAGCTATTTAATAGAATATAGTGACTAATTGTAGTGGAATTGGTAATTCCACTAACTTCACATGTAAAAAACACAGTTTTCCTGATCAATCCTCCAGGAAATATATTTAGAAAAATAAGCAAATATAAAACTTCTGAGTTTCCAGCCTGTGGACCTGCCTTATAGATTCCACCTTGCCACCCCAACAATCATGTGAACCAATTCCTTGAAAAATATATATGTTACATATATATATATATATATATGTATCTCCATCGTATTTGTCCTGTTGCTCTATAGACCCTAACTGATAAATACACATTTGGAGAGATTTGTTTATGTTAGCTATCTATGCCATTATTCTACCCCTTTGTGATTTTATGATCCTACTCCTCTCAGCTCCACCCACACAGAGTCAGCTCACACCCTCCTCACAGAACCCACCAAATACAATCCTTGGGACTCAGTTTTCTTTTCCACGTTTTTGTTTCAACCATCTCCACACCTTTACTTTTCTATTTCAATCCTTCAAGCCCTTCCTTTTCTAATAACTAGAAAAGAACAGCAACAAATATAACTGGCATACTCTAAGATGAATACTCTCATAATATACAGATGTGCATTTGCATGTGTACACAGATCCCTGCATTAGGGAAATTTTAGATTACAAAAACTGTCTACAATATGGTAGTTCTTTAAATATACGTTTTTAAAGATTAAGGTACATTTTAAGGTGAGATTTTCATTCCAACATGGAGCTCAGAATTGCCACTCCGCAATTAGAACTGCAATTTGGAAATAAAGGGAAAATTTAATTTAATTTATAGAAATCAGATTCTAAATCCAGTATAAAAACATGCTTGTTTTGAAATCCAAACTTCCTTATCCATGGAACACTTATTTTTCAATGACTAACTATATAAACTTCAGAGTTCTAGAAGAATTGTCTAGTAAGATATTTTAACAGTATTTTTTTTAATGGTAAACTTTCAAGTTACTCAAGTACCTTAAAATTGAAATATTTCAGCGCTAAATGGTAGAGGCAATTTATTAGCTATTCATTTAGCCCTGCAAAAGCAGTAAGTAGTGCAAAGAGAAACATTTTAAATATTTAAAATAACAACCATATCCTCACCTCCCACATCAACCTGTAATCCATATTTTCATCCAAGTCCTCTGGCATTCTCTTCTCTCCAGCAAACGGTCCAAACTTTTCACCCTGAATAGTGATGATTATATTGAAAAAGGATTAATACAATAAGCTACTAAAATAAACTACTACCACTCTTCTGGAAAATTTTTTCTCCCAATTCCATGCCCAATGCTTGAGAGAGATTTACAGTATTAACTAATTTTCACAACACAAAACATTTACATCTTTTAAATCCAACTTAATCTGTTTTCAGTTCAAAAGTCCCAATCCAAAACACGGCAGCCAACATAAAGGTTTAATTGTATAACATACAAAGTCTGACAAGTTTCTGAACATTGTACTTATATGTTTCAATCCTCTGCTGCCTGTGCCAAGTGGTCTTAAATGGCAAGCACTGAGTTTTCCCTGACTTGACAGGTAAGCTCACCAGGCAGAAAATCACCTGGTTTCCATAAAGATCATAAATTCATCCCAATTATGAACAAAAAAGAAGTAGGCTTGCCATTCTCAGAGGAAAACTGTTCTAAAACAAAGTTTAAATTCTCCTGCCAATCTTTCAGCCAAGGGGGCGCACTATAAACCAGGGTTTTTCTCATTGTGGGCACTTTGAAGCTCACCTGGCATGAGAATCACTAGTGTCACTAGTTTCCAGTTCAGAATCCTGGCTTATTAAAATCTGAATCTCTAGGAATGAGACATGGGGAGCTGCATTTTGACAAGTTCCCAGGTGAGAATCACTGGACCGTCCCACAAGAGGCCAGTGCCCTGCATTCTGGCCCTACAGAGACTGGTTCAGTGAGTAAACAACACTGTCTTCTCAACTAAGGCAACCAAATCAGGGAGACAGAAGGAGTGGGGTCAGTGTGTCCAGCCAGATGTTCTAGAGAAATATGTGCAGAAAGAACACAGAGCCACTGTATCCTCCAAACCTACCTTCCCTTCATAAGGTGGGAGAAGAAAAATCCTACAAAATCTCCAGGGAAATGTTCGATGAACATTGTTAGAGAGAACAACTACCAAAGCAATGTTTCCAGGAATATAAATTACTTAATGAACAACAGAAACCCAACTCCTGGGAACAGTAAAATGTTCAAGCTTAAAGGAATCACTACAAGCGAACTGAGCCCCTCATTACACAGATAGAGATTTCTCCAGGACTCTTCGGTGTTTAAATGGCAGAGCTCAGAAGAACTGTTCTTTAATGTTAACCTGGGGGCAGAAAATAGCTACAGGGATTCCTTAAATCAAAACCTAATCTTAAATAACCCAAGCACAATCACACCAAAAGAAACAGGGAGACTGCCATTTATGACAACACAGCTATCAATACAAAGCTAAGCAAGTAATTTCAGAGAGGCTGGGAGCTGGCTGTGCTTCTCCACCCATCCATGCCTTATTAGCCACTTTATACTAAAACGTGGGCACTCAGCATCACTTCTCAGGCAGACATAACAGCCCCAAAGTTGCTTTCTTTAAAAAGCAGTGTACCTCTCCTCAACATGGTATCTTACCAGTATGTAATGGCAGTTAAGAAAAGCTGTATATAGATTAAAAGAAGGGGGGAAATTAATATATACTGAACTCACATGTGCCACACTCCAAAATTAATCCTATGTGAGAACTTCCCCATTTAACCATGAAGAAACTGAGACTCAAAGAGTTTAAATAACTTGGCTTGGTTAAGGCCAATAACCTAGCAAAGATCAGAGAGAAGACTGAACGAATGGCTTATTCTGAATGGAAAGATCAGGCAGTGTCCAGTTCACCATGCCACCACTAACAACCCTGACAGATCACTGTGACCCAGGGCTAAGGCAGGCACGCCTCTCTTCTCACCCCTCCCTTAACTACAAGGTTCAGCAATAACACAGGCTCATAGCAGCCCCTCAATACACGGACTGTTGAATTGAATGAAGAAACTGACTGATGTTAAAGCCAATCTGGAAAACAGACCAAAAAGCAAGGCATGTTTTTGGTAGTAAGCCTGAGGACTTGGTATTAATGCAAGTTGCTAAACTTTTCACTCCACTCTGTCATGTATTAAGCCTTTATTATCCATCAGAAGGTAATAATTTGAGTACACTTTCTAACGCAGCTGATCTACCCATGAGGGTCAGTTCCTTAGGCAGTACAAATCTGGAGGGAAAAAAACTGAATCAATCAATTCAGCAGTGTCCAGAGGACAGAGGAAGAAATGGAAAGCCAAACTAAGGCACTGAGATCAGGAAAAATGCCTGCTTGGATGCAGGCCTAGTAAGATTATTAAAGGACTTACAGCTTTGAAAATTCAGAGAATCAGGACTCTGAATTTAAAGTTTCATTATCAATAATGAACAATCACTGCATCAATTCAAACTACTGAACTATACAGTAAATACAGCTTTCAGTATTTTTCTTCAACCCATAGAAATACATTTTGCATCTCAGCCAGCAAATTCACATAAACACACATAAACATACAAAACTGAAATATGTTTCTTAAACAATACTACCCTTAGTCTGTACAATATGCTCCCATATGTTCTACTCTATTTTACTTCATTTTTTGAAAAATGCTAGTTTTGATCCAGCAAGTTAATTTCACAATTCACCAGTGAGTTGCAATTCACAGTTTGAAAAATACTGACAAAAACACAAAGATAGAGGAGACAAATTTATAAGCCTATTTAGCAATCTGGATTTGATAAGATTGCCTTCAAAGTAGACTAGTGAGTATACTAGTATGATTTGATCAAATAAAATTGAGATTCTGTAGCTGCAAGGACACAAAAATGTAAACAGCAAACTCTTAATTATCCATAGCGCTGTGGTAAGAAACATTACAGGTAATTAAAACAATGTATATTTGGCCATAGATGAAGATTTTATACTTGCTAGAACCACTTTCACTCTGATGCCTTCCCCTTAAGGATCCTAGCACCTGCTACCCACCCACTTCTCTAACTCTGTTTATGTTGTTTCTACTGTACAAACAGAGCTTTCTAATAAAATTGTACACACTGTTTTATTCACTAACCATTTCTTCCAGAAATTCTGGCCCAAGAGTAAGCTTCTTCTATTTCAGTAGACTTTAAACCTACTTGAGTGACACACCAATAAAAAGAAGGTTTGGAGCACACACCCATGTATAGTTATTTTTTCTTTTAGGTGAACCACATGAAATTGACGATATGTGACTAGTTTTGACCTACAAAAATGAAAAGGTTTCATATGATTCATTATAATTTATATATATACACACAATAGCATATTAAATACCTCACATGAGGTTCTTAATTAATTATAGGGAGGAAATCAACATTGCAAACGGATATTAGAAATTTCAAAATTTTCTAGCTGACTTCCTGGCATCATTGGTTTTACTTTTTTGTGATTAAGTTGCTGAACATACCATGACAGCAGCAGGAAAACTGTCAGCTCTACCATTTTCCTGCTGTTCATGTGTGCCTGTATTATTGATATTACCTTCAACCTGTAACTTGACTGCAAGAACCTTCTTAGAATTCCTCACTTCTAATTACCTAAGGGGTCATTATTTCAAATACCTACAAGGTTAGACAGGAAAGCAAAACATCAGACATCCAACAACAAATATGTAAAGGACACAACAGGGACGCCCACTTAGAAACTGTTTTTCCACTCCAGCTGAATACTGATGAAATGTGTGCAGAAAGAACAAAATCCAATGGTGTCACATAACTAAAAATATTTTAGAGAAGCTGATAATTCAAATTTATATGTGAAATCACTATTTTTCTGTAATTGGCAATGAATTCTACATTTTCGCTCTGGTCAAATAAAATGTGACTGCAAGGCAAGTTCAACCTGCAGACACCAAAACTGTACAAGTCAAACTCACCTCTCAGACCAGCCCAATGCCCAGGCTAAAAGGGTGCTTCTTTGCTGTTTCTGAATAAAGCAAATAATTAATCCATTCAATTTGTCATCCACTGGACTAGACAGTAACTTTTAATAAACAAAAATAAATGACTACAAACATGTGGACCATTTTACCTCATTTTGCTTAGTATTAGTTGTAAGAAGTTAAAAACAAGATTAACTGCTATTATCTCTCTTAGAATAGTGGGAAATAGCACTAGCAGAGCCTTCAAGAGATCTGGATCCTAATCCTTGCTCTGCCATTAATTAGCTGTGACACTTTAGGATGTCACAAACATCTGAGCTTCAGTTTCCTTACCTACAAAAAGTAGGGATCTGGATTAGGTGATTTTTAAGATTCCTTCCTGCATTTTAATTCTATTAGAAATAGCTTCCACAAGACAAATTTAGAATAATATAAAAATCAACAAGAGTTTATAATTGATTGAAACACTAACGAATCCTTAAGTCCCTAGTGACTGTCAGAGAGGGAAAGGAAAAGAAAAATACTGTTTTAAACCTCCTGTGCCATCCTAATTACAGGATATCATTAAAATTAGTAAAGGAAAAGGACTAAGCATTTTACACTACCTTTTCAATAGTAACACTAGTTCACGATAACCAGACAGCAGCAAATGAAGGAAAGCTCTTCCGTACAGAAGAATGCTAACTTATAAAGGAAGAATATTTGAGTGAAATTGCCATTTTAAAACACCTAATAAAATAACTGATTCAGGCAAGAATTATCAATGGAAGCCAAAACCATCAGGTAAAAGGTTACTACTAAAATAGATATTCATACAGTATCATATCAGATTACCAGTTAAGTACTAAGTACCTTTACAATGGAAAAATTACATTAACCCATCGTTGGCATTACTAGCATAGAGAAGCCATGTATTTTATACCTCTTGCTATTATACTGCAGCAGGAAATAAGCCACTCTAGCCTTTCATTCCCCAGTACCTGCCACAGGAAAGTGAGAGGGGCGTTTGAATTCTCCAGAAACTTTCAGAGGCAAAAGGACAAGTAAACACATGCAGACCTCTTCCCCTTTGTCCTGTCCCCAACCCAGGACCTGAGAAGATGGGTGCTACCCAAGAAGAGAGCACATGGATAAAACATATATGAGAGAGAGATGGGTGCTTCCTACATTCCTTCCTGTTTCCCACTGCTAAAACTACACT